CCCCAAAACCCCAAAACCCCAAAACCCCAAAACCCCAAAACCCCAGACCCTGAAATAGTAGTTGAAAGTGTAAATAATACTATTAATTGGAATTATGAAAACTCTGACATGGAATTGATTTCCTTCCTCCAAAAGGTTGTCACTGCCCGTACACATCACTTAAGCAGTAGTTGCTCCCTAAAACTTTCAGAATCTTATCGTAGCCAGAAATAGACTGGCTGGAAGCAGAATCAGCAGTGATTATCATAGGAGTGTTGAGGGTTATAGGCACTACCCTCACTGCTATAGGCTCATCTGATGATATCATCAGTGTGTCCTCACTATGACAAAAGTTAAGTTAAGTTACTTACTTGTCAACCTTGACAGTCTCAATGTTTCAAGAGACGCCAATATTGATTCTATTATTGCCGATCTTTATATCACCGTTCTCTATAGATACTGAAGTACCAGCTTCATCTGCTTCTTCATTCTGTTTAGCAATCTTGATGAATTCTTTAACAAGTCTCTTCTTGCCTTTACCATTGCCTTCCTTAACTTCTTCTTCTCCCGGACTCTTGTAGGAGTCCTGATAGCTGTAGTACTTGGTACTTATCATTGTACTCGGAAAGGTCTTACGAGAGGAGTCTAGCTTCTCTTGTTTTGGAGGCTGCATACCCATAGAGCTGGCCATTCTCGACGAAGCATACCCCAAAGGTTTATCCGCAACTATTGGCGGGTTTAGCCTATTTTCAGAGGACTTGTTATTCTCTATTCACATTGAGGCTATAAGAATTAATTGATCTTAATTACTATCAACTAAACTACTTCTTGCTGCGTTTGGATAATCTATATAAAAAATTTAGGAGGTTCCAAGGGAGCGTTGGAAATTAACAACTAGCATAGGTTATTGAGTAAATTGCTTTATTATTTCCTTAATATCACCGTAAATTTTCAATCCTTACCAATAGGATCATTTCTATAAATTTAGCCATGGGCTTACTTTGAACACTGATTGTTGTCAGCTGACATCCAACTTTCACCTGATTCCTCTACAAAAATTATTAATTTCTGAATTTTTTGAAATTTATCGCTTAAATACAAAAAATTAGTGAAAAAAACACCAGAATGCTCTTGATATAAGTTTAAAGTCTTCATGCTTTATGATAATGTTTGGACAAAAAGCACTTCACGAGATCTAGGTAAGAAGTAAACCCATCTCAGAGAATATACAAAATCTTATAAGTTCAGCTTAGTACTGCAGGAGAGACCTACTGAGGGCTCTTTTGAGCCTAAACTCTCAGGAATGATTTCTTTAGAAACTTGAGTCTCTACTTTAAGACAAAAACTGACTACTAGATCGGATCATAAGGCAGTTATTCAGTAAAAATTACTCTTAATGCAGCTCTGATTTTATCAAAGGTTTTAATTTAAGAATAAGTGTGTAGGAAATACTGTATTAAAACTCTACCTGAGTTCAGAAGAAGAGGCATGTTCATAAGCAAGATTAACATCACAAAATAATTTAAAACCAAGAAGAATTTAACCCATAAAGATATTTTAGAGAAGTAAGGTCTTACAAAATATCACTAGATTGCTAATCAAGGATGCAGTTATGCCCAGACTTAAGCTCCTTCTTCCCAAATTTCAGGAGTAATTATCAAACTAGAGCCCACTGCTGAAGAGAGTCTAAAAGCTGCTCTTGGAAGGAGCAAAATCTCCAGATCATTATACACACTTGGCTATTAAAAGCCTTACTACAGAAAATACTATTATTGTCCCTCAGAATTGGTAAATATCCAGAGAGCAAAATCAAACTATCTAGTAGAAGCTTTATGAGTCATATTGGGCTGAAAACTCAGAATCAATAACCACACAGGTAAATCTAGCTAATCGGACCAAAGCTTGCTCTTTAGGCGATAATTTTCGGACCCAGAAAGTTGGATATTTTACTAAGTTGAAAAATCTTGACCCAACTGGGGTCAATAATAATAGGCATAACATCTATCTCTACATGATAGGATCACACATCTGCGAGGAGATTAGGGTTATCTCTTCATCTTAACAAGTTAATAAGTATGAACCATATCTCAGATGATATGAAGTTCCATAAGGAATTCATCACACGAGCCTTAAGCTAGAGATATAGTATTCACAAGGTCAACAAGTTCTACTGAAAGGTCCTTTTATCGTAAAAAAGGAATCTCTGAATGAATTATTGATCGAATTCTAATATTTTACCGAAAAGGCAGGAAAATCTAACCCTCTATGTCAAGAATCTAAGTCTTACTCGGCTCGTTCTTGGTAAATTGGTGGATATACTCCAGCGGAAAGTCGGTCTGGTATTCTTTCTTGATCCTGTTAAAGTACTTCTGAGCGTGGCTCCTGACCTGAGGTCCAGTCCTGGTAGGGACTCATTTCTCAAGCTTGGACCAGTCCTTGCCGTACTTCTTAAGGCCTATTATGTCAATAAAAAAGCTGTCTTACATTCTACAAACTGCATGTGCTCTTGGTTTGTCCATCTTCCAGTGACGATTACTTCTTCAGGTAGCATCTGGGTGTCCACCTTTAACAAGTTTAATGAGATTCCAGGAAGAATATTAGTGAAAGCATATCAAAAAGGTCTAATTCTGAAGAAAATATATCGAAATAGTATCAAAAGAGTCTTGGCAAGCCCCATATCACCGATTGGTGACTCTAGAGACCTCTTTTCAGATCTGGGAGATCTTTTAAGAATCGAAAATTTGGAGAAAAATACACCCAAATCTATCAAAGAGAGGGTATTTTATTGAGAATTTTACAAATCGTTAGGATTTCCCTCAGGCTTGTTCATCGGCTTAAACCAACGATTTAAGCCCTAATCTCGATTATAGAGGTGACTTACATTCTCTTGGTCATGATTCATGTTTGAATCGATATCTATGAAAATGTTAAGAAATTAGACGAAAAAGGGTAGGGTTAGATGGTGCTGGATTCAAAAGTTAATATAGATATTGAAAATTATTCGTTTTGACCGCCAATAGACCCCACAATAACTCTAGAGGTCCCCAGAGTATTTCAAATTTAGTACAGTTGAAATCATTATGTAATTGATGAATATTGTTGTTAAATTAGGTTCTTTTTAGACAATAAATTTTGTGCTTTTATGAAGCTGCCAACTCACAACCCGATCAAATTCCTAAGTACTCCTTATGGACTGGGCCACTCACCACAGCAATTTTAATTGAAATATTAGCGGTGACTTTGTCCTAAAAATTGCTAAAAATGCCTCTGAACTTCAAAATTGTGCTTACTGTAATTATGCTTTTGTTCTTCCATCTTTAAAAATATTTATAAAAATATTAATAACAAAGTATATAGCCTAAGTGGCATAATCGGGGAACGAAGGTTCCGCTGTGAGAATAACATAATGTTATAATTTTAACGACATATGCAAGCACTTTAAGCTTCTGATAGAGTAAATAAAATTTTGCCATGAATCTTTAAGGTTATCCTTAAAGTAAACTTCATTGAGATTTTGCACGATTGGAATTAGATGAATTTTAGGAGTTTTAAACAGTTGTTAGCGAAAATTTTCTTTTTCTAAGAGAATAAGGAAGGTTTATGAGTATTATAAGACATAATAGTGTTCAACAAAGCAAGGGAAAACGCTAAATCTCGTCCTTTGAAAAACAACCTAGTAGTTATTTTTCATGCTGTAGAGAGTCGGAAGAGCAAAAGAAAGTTGACAATTTTTATTTTTGGTCAAAGATTATATGATATGTAATCTCTAAGGAAGAATCTAAATAATTTAAATTAACTAGATATTGCTAACTAATCATGTAACTTTCTTGTGCAAACATTCACCCTATAGCTAGAACCAGTTCAGTGGTTCTCAGCCCTTAATCAGTTGATTGAAGAGATCAAAATCTATCATACTCATGAATGAGCAAATTAAAGCTTAAAGTTCAGTGAGAGCATCTAATTTCAGCGAAATTTCTTCTACAAAGGAGACTAAAGGATGGATTTTGCCTTAGCATACCTTCTTGATTGGAATAATGTGATGAGAAATCCATAAATATACTTTAAATGTGACTAAAGCCCTCTATAACTCAAATTTCTTTCTCGTTTCAATGCCTAAACACCACCTGGGGTTTTGGGGTTTTGGGGTTTTGGGGTTTTGGGGTTTTGGGGTTTTGGGG